ATTGACAAGTTATTTCAAGTAGAAACATTTTATTGACTCACCCTACGTATTACATATATAAAGTAATATATATATATATATGTGTGTGTGTAAATATGTATACATAATGCATATAACTTCTACACACATAAATACACACTATTAATATCATCTGATAGTGTTTCCGCAATATTGTCGCTTGGCATAAACCCTGTGAAATGCGTTTGTAGATACACCCATGAAAGATGAATTATTTATGGGATTTTCTCTCTCTCTCTCTCTCTCTCTCTCTCTCGATCCACCTTTCGTGAGTAACAAACATTGAGTGGAAACAAATAGGTGTCCCCGGTACGAATGAGAGAAACTAAACTACGTCATGGTGAATGTATGTCACATTCTATTTATTTCTCTCTCTCTCTCTCTTTCCTTCTTCCTTCCTCACCCCTTACCCACCCCTCTTTGTTTTTCTCTTACCCCTTTTATTATCTCTTTTGTTTCTCCATCGCGCGTGTGTCAAAAAATAAAAATATAATTTTATGATCGTCGATATTTTTTATTGATCGTTTTTGTAATTCCTCTTTCTCTCTCCTCCCCCCTCCTCGTTCACTCTTCCATTTCTATTACATTTTTGCTCTTCTATCCCCTCCCCCTCCCCCTTCTCAACTCCTGCTTCTCTTGTATGTAAAGAATTCGTTTGCATTGTTAGAAATCGAATGATCGTTTGAATCGATTAAACAATTGTCAATAAGAACAGTAGAAAATTGTTTAAATTTGTATAATTCAAAAATTGTAATTGTATTTTAAAAAAGGAAAAACACACACACACACATACTACACACACAGAGATACAAGAATAATTGTGAAATTATCGAAGAAGAAGATAAAAATTGGCAACAATATTCGATGAAATATTTATTGAAATATTTTTAAAGAGGATGAAGCTTTGCGAATATAAATGTAATAATATAATTAATATATAATTATTAATAATGAATAATTCCATAATATATACGCGTGTTAAAAAGAAAAATGTATTATTTAACACGTAACACCGATATATTATGTGAATCAGCACGTTGTTTACGTCACTAAATAATTTTATCATATATGTTTCATATTATCAATCTTGCACGCATATTAATAAATGAAAAAAAAGGAATATAAAACGAAACAAAACAAAACAAAGACAAAAAAGATAGGAAATAATAAAAAGAAAAAAATAATAAGTCAATAGAGCTTTCTCGATGGAACGTTTATAATCGAGCTATTATTTTATTTTTAATTATTTTTGTTTTCCCTTTCTTTTGTTAATCCTTTCAGGCTCATCATTATTCGCCATTTTGTTGGTAACAAATGTTGCACTACACACAACATTGTATTAAAGAAAATATATTTAACAAAGTATAAAGCACATCGTTCTATATATAACAATTTTATTTCATTTCGTAAACAATATGCATAATATCAATGCAATGCTTATTTATATAGTAATAATAATAATAATAAAGTTTTAGTATTAGTAACAAAACACGAAAAAGTATTCCTTGTGTCGGTTTATAAATGAAAATGGAAAAGAATGAAAAGTGAATAATGGTATGTTATTGATTTTGTAGATAATTATTTGTTTTAAAGAATGATAAGTAATATTAAATTACTTATATGAAATATAAAAACCAAAAATACAAAAGATATATATATAGATATATATAGAAGTATGATATATAAGAAAAATTTAGAAAAAAAAACAATATTAGTTGTCACCAAACTGTCGCTGTCACATTTAATATAATTAATTTACGTAAAAATATTGTGAGTAAGAAGCACAGAATGGACAAATGTGAGACAAAAATATATGGTACTCTATAAAATTAATTATTACGGGCTATTTATTTATTTATATTTAAATGTAATTATTTATTAATTAATCCTAGAGATGAATATCATTTTTGTACACACGGATATTTATAATATTACTTCAAATTTATGATATTATTTTTATATTAATGTAAA